GTATAAATAGGTGTGTCTGACCGGTGACAATTATAATGTTCCTGCACGTCGTAGCAAGTAATAGTTCCTCTCATCTGAACACACGCACACACACAAACACATATATATTGATTTATAACTGGTAATCGAGTATGACCATCACATCGGACGAAAATGTTTTTTTTTGTTTTTTTTTTTGTAGAGCCAATGATTTACATCGTTTATTACAAGTCGTTGGTGTATGAGTCACTTTTCGTCATTATCATGAGTAGCAGTTGATGTGAAATATTTCCAAAGAATTAATGTCGTGATCTGATAGATGATCCAAAATTGAATCTATTATTGACTTGAGAATCGTTTTCCCCTGAAAGTCTGTTGAAGCGAAAGATTTTATAAATTTCACCTGACAGTAATTCGATGCTTTGGGTTAATGTGTATCGGATGGTTTTTTTTTCTTTTCCTTTCTTTGTTTTGTGTATTGAAACGTTTATTCACACCATTGCCATTCCTACTTGTATCAGTAACATTGTTGGTCGTCTTTGAGTTGGATGTACCCAAGTAAGAATTTGCAGAGCCGAGCTTTGCCTGTACATGAGAAATATTTACAGTGGAGAAAGACGGTGCACTGGCTCAAATCCATTCTCTGAGCGTCAATGCAATAATCCGAAAAGGAAGAACAAGTCTATATTATCGGTTGCTGGTAGGCCACAGGTGTTACGTCAGAATAATCCTACTTATAGTTGAATAACTCCGCGATGGTTAAGGGATCAACAGGACGGCACATAGTCTAATGATCGATTAAGAACAGTGATTATATCACCATTTAATTATCATCTGATGATCGCTTAAAACATTATCTATCTATCTAGCTAGCGACCTATATCTATCTATTTATCTCTCCCCTCTCCATATATATATATATATATATATATATATATATATATATATATATATATATATATATATATATATATATATATATATATATATATATATGTGTGTGTGTGTGTGTGTGTGTGTGTGTGTGTGTGTGTGTGTGTATTTGTGGTATTTAAAGGAAAGTGCTCAATATACGTGATAGAGCTAACACATGCGGTTGGATGGAGAGATGTTTGTGACTTTAGGTTACACGCTTTCGCGATCTACAATCTCTGAAGATCGTGAAAATGTAAATTACCCACATAGAAATAATTTATATTCAATTTGTGACTAAATAACAACTAATTAATCTCTTACTGTAACATAAGCGTAAATGTTCTTGATCAATCATTAAAATATACAATTTATTTTTAAAGTTTCACAATATAACATTCAATAGTTTCCAGTGCCAAATTTTAACAATATGAAATAAAAACTAAAATTTCCTAGTCAAAAGTCTAAGCAAAGCGTTCGAGTTTATTTTACGAAAAAGCTAAGTTTAAATTTTTACACTATTTACATTATTCGGACTGTTGTCCCCATCTTTATTGTCATACTCACGGCGTTTCAGCTGTTTTACGCTCCGACCTTCTTCAGGTCATATACGTTGGATCGAACTCTTTATTTAGTCCACCGGGGTAGATTGTTCCGGTTCCACGTTCCATGTCTTCTCTCGATATCTCAGGTTTAAGTTAATTCCCTTTAAGCAAGTTTTTGTTTACTTCTACTGTGGCCAGGTATTGAACTCACAACTCTTTGCGTCAAGTCACTGGATTGCTTCAACCAACGCTTTTATCCACAGGGTCATGAGCACCTCAGTGTATCAATTTTGGGGACTTTTCAACCTAATGCTTCAATAACCATGTTTTTTTTTTTTTTTTTTTACCAGAGTTCGTATTACAATTTTTGTTATTTTTTTTTTTATCTATAGCTTTCTGTATTACTCGTTCACATATTGTATTCATGTCTCTGCTTGGACAACTTAGGAGATTTTTGTGGCCTAGCATAGGCGCTGATTCGTTAAGTTTTCGTATTCTCCAGTTATCTGTCTTTTTATTTCAATTCAATCCCACAGAGGCCGAAAATTTCTCTTTTCACTCCATATATGGTCAACCATGCCTGATTTTTCTAATTCCCTTCGTATTACGGCTTTACGGTGTCACTGATGTCTTATCTTAAGGGGGAAGCCTTTTCCTTCTTTATATTTCTTACCACGACTGCATGGGATGGCATACTCAGTCATGTTCTCCTCTAGGGAGGGGTCTTACTCGGAAATTACAACCTCAGCTCAGAAATATAGACAAGCTAAGTGTGAATCCCAAATTCTGATGTACCAATTGAAACAAACGAATCTTTCATTTAATGATTTGCTTGTTACGGATGTATTTCACACTATGTCGGACACAATCATCAGAGAAGTGGTTCTACAGAAAGATGGAGAGAGCGTGTGGGCAACGAATATTTTTTAAAAGAGAAATAAAAACGAAAAAGTTATTTATACATAAAACCGGAAACTGTTGACATTCCTGAGACACATAATGAAGAAAGGTTTGGAAAATCTGACACACACATGGTATTTTTAAATTACGGTGGCAAAAGAAACGTCTAAATGGGAGTGTGCAAACGGAAGCAAAAAGAGTGTATGGGAGGGATAAGACCTAGAAATGGTTGGAAATACCATGATCACCCACGTCCTGAAGAGACATGACGCATGAAAGGACCATAAAGTGTCCGAAGTAATTTTACCAACTGACACAGGATAATGGTGTTCCTCTCGTTTAGAAACAAGAAATGTCAGCCGGCCGACGTTGACACTGATAATTCCAAATCCCTTTTATCTAATCTTAACATTGGATATATGTCGGTGGCAAATACGTTATTTATTAAGCAGTATGGATCAAGCTTTTGTTACTAATTCAAATGCATATAACACAGAAAAGTCACTAACATTAAGAACTGTAAAAAATAAAACTGAAATCTAGTACTCTAGCACATTTCCACTGTACAAAGAAGAGAAGAGCGTGATGTCCGTGGAAGGAGATGAGTAGACCTTTTAATTTTTGGACGATTCATTAAGAAACCATGTATTAATATTTTAAAGACAATGTATTTTATATGTATTCTTTTTTTTTTTTTTAAATATTCATCTCAAGCAAAGCTATAATGCCCAAAGGGGTTACTGGGGGTGAAAGAAAATAAGAAGACTTTACGAGAAGGAACCGGAAAAACAATCTAAACTGGAAATAAGGGACAAGCCTCTACTCCTGTTCAAAAACTGACAAATAATGTAAAGCTGGCTGTACTCTCATCGAAAAAATATTAGTAAATATTAATTCGTAGTTTAGGCAGAGATTTTCAGTGTATTAATTTAATATGTATCGTGTGATACAAGTGAATGTATTCAGGTCAGTAAGTCAGTTATGTGGCATGCGTGATAAACACTGAGGCGATCATGTAATATTTTCCCGCAATAGGTTGTCATTTCTTTCTGTGGTAAAACAGTTGCTACAGAACCCGGTTTGTCCTGCTATTTACCCATAGCATAGAGGGAGAAGAAGAGGATTAATACCTTTTCCAAGGTTATTAGCACGTAAGCTTATTAGGGTAAGACGATAAACTACGTCCAGCAGCAAGGCCTCTGATCAGGAGCTTTTGAGGAGCGTGGAACCACCTCTTAATTGCCGGTGTTCCCAGGTCCACCCTGACCCGGGATGGTACCATATTTTAGGGTCCCAGCTATGGGCAAATAGTTAACTATTACCAGCAATACTTTTTTGAAAAAACATTATTACCAGCAATAGAATTTTGGAGGAAAAATTTTACCAGATACAGATTTTTGACAAAAGAAAAAAAAATTGTCGGCATTAAATAACTCATTGAGTTTGATATTCAGTAAAACAAAATAAACCAAACCAAGTTATTAGGTTGTCCCAAAAGTTCGTAAACACTTGCCCAAAATTGAATTTTTATGCAACACAATCCAACACAATTGAGACAAGCGATGGGTTCAGAAAGGGCAAGAGACACCGTCGGTTCCAAAACAAGATCGATTCGGCAAGAAAGTCATGTTGTGCGTTTGGTGGAACGTTGAAGGAATCGTGCATTTTGAGTTGGTTCCGAATGGTCGTGCCATCAGTGCCGAACTTTTCTGTCAGCAACTGGAGCGGGTCTACGAAAAGTTGAAGCAAAAGTACCTGATCAACCGAAAGCGCGCTTTGATGCAGCAGGACAATGCCAAGCCACACACCGGCAGGAAGACCAAAAACAAGTTTGAAGAGCTGGACGGCGTTGAGGTTCTGCCACATCCAGCCTACAGTCCTGACTGTGCTCCATCAGATTACGGCCTTTTACGCTCAATGCAACACTTTCTGAAGGGCCGCCGATTCGACTCGTTTGATGAAGTCGAGGAAGCGTGTCAAGAAATCTTTGATTCGAAGCTGGCTGAATGGTACTTTTACCAGATCCGAAAGTTTGCAGATCGATGGCAGAAAGTCTTGGAAAATGATGGTCTTTATTTTGAGAAATAATTTTTGTTGTTTTTGCTATTACTTGGCGAGTAAAATTTCATTTTCTTGCAAGTGTTTACGAACTTTTGGTACAACCTAATATTAGCGCGAAAGTGAATGCAATTCGAACTCGTGCGGCTTTCCATTACTCCATCTTGCCACCCTACTCGGGTAGGGACAGTTAATTGTGTTAAAATCTAAATATATAGTTAAAATTCATCAAGGAACGACAGTTATGTAATTTTTTTTTTACTGAATTTTAATAATCTATTTAGAATTTAACATAGATTAAGTTGAGCTATGTCCTAGAAATTAAAAAAAAAGCTCAACCTTATTTAACATTGGTACCGGAACCTGCGTTTAAACGTGATGCAGCCATAAGAATTTTTTATTAATTTCTGATATTTCGATTTTTTCTGATTATTCACTGCTATTTTTGCCCTTCCTATTTTAATTTTGGTTCGCTTATTTTCTGAAAATATTTTTTGACTACAAGAGTATTTTTTGGTCACATAGTACGTTTGAATCCCGACCAACAATAAACCATCAAGATTTCAAGATGGACTTGCACGAAATGTTTCCTCTCATATCCGTTAGCATTTTCATAATTTCTTCCTTAAAACATTCGTGCTTTTTTCCGATCATTGTTCATGGCTCAGCAGCCATTTGAAATTCACTTTATCCAAGTAAACTGACTTAACCCGGGAATGACAACATCGAATGAAAAAAAAAAAACTTGGTAAAAATAGATTGCAGAAATAAAATGCTAATACACAAATAAAAACCAAAAAAACATGAACGAATGTTTAACATTTAAAATGACGCATATCAATCAAAAACATTTCGTTGATATATATTCTGAAATGTATTTATTTAACAATGTCCTTTCCTTCATTATTTATCTGTTTAATATAATTTTCATGTATATTTGGAAAGCAAACTTTCTTTTAAATATTTCTCTTCAAATATGGCAGACAAGGAAAATTTAATTATTATTACTTTTTTTTAACAACGTTCAGAACTTTTCCGTTTGGTAGGAATATATAATTGTTTATCTAGGCAGCAATCCCTATTTTATACATGTATCCATAAAAATGACGGACATGGTACTGCGGCTAAGGTTTTTATCCAATTTTCCTAGTGTTATTATTTTCTTCTTTTCTGGATGTAAATTATGTAGGAATTGTCCAAATGTCATTTATGTCCGAGCGCTTTCGGCTATATTTTAGCCATTATCAAGGATGATTGTTTTTTTACTTTTACTTGAATGTATGGATTTATCTATTTATATTCAGGGTACAATGGATAAGTTGTATAAATTACGCAAAAATGAAAATAACACTGACATCTCAATTTAACACATATAAAATAACACTGACATCTCCTTGTTTAAGTTGATGAGTGTTGCTATAATCTTTGCCTTCAGTTCATCTTTGTGTAACACGGAGTTTTGTTGGTCTCTCGCTCAACTGTGTCTCATATATAATAATAGAGCGGGGTGCATTCAGGTTAGGTGGCTAGAGGTAAGGGGTTCTGTGGTTGCAGTAATTGCCTGACAGTCATGACAGTGTACTCCCGCTTATGTAGCATGGTGGAAAATCCTTTTGCCACAGAATCTTCCAGCAGCCATCCTCTTGATTAAGGCAAAACTACCTTCTCATAGTACTTGATATAGGCATCCGGAGTGAGTCTGAAGCCATGTGGAAAAATGAAGTGATCACTCCAAACACTATATTGATTGGATATACCATCGAACATTTTCCGAATACTCTGCATTGTCTTCAGATTGACACCCAAACACTCTGAAACTCTGAAATGTGCGTATTATAGCTTTCGATGCGAATATGAAGCAGTACAACATGTCGTTTTCAAGTTTCTGGTGGAGTGAATTACGTCATGGTGCTCTTTTTCTCACAGTCAGTGCTCAACTGAAACTACTATATTGTGCAGTCGACAAAATAAAAAAAAACAAAAAACATGTGCTTGCGCGAAATTAAAAAATGTCGACAATTTACGCATAGGACCCTGTAATTCTCTCTCTCACTATATCATAAAGAAACAATTTATACAAATAATTAAATAGCAATGTTAATATGATTAATGGCGAAATCACTTCGCTAGCAGAACTTAATGAGACCTTAACTTACTATCAATTGCTTCAGTAATAGGATCCTTACTTTCGAGTAGTTATTAGATGGAAGACACATGACAAGCACTTTCGACAATTTCAAATTGTCATTTTCAAGGCGCAATTTTCTTATATACAGGCAAATACTAGAATGCACGATGTGTAAGCCGCAATATTTTTTTAAATTATGCTATTTATTGACAGTTAAATATATATTCCCACTTGATCGATTTGAACAAGAACTATAGCGTCGCGACATCGCACTCTCCAAAACTTATATTCAACTGTCTATTAACAGTATTTATCTTGGTATGTTTATTATTATCCAAATTTTAAATTGGTTTAAATTTTTATTATTATGCTTCTTTATAATATTCTCAGCATTATCCGTGCAGTTATAACATGATTTTAGTCTGTTTCTGTTAAATATATTATAAGAGGTTTACTTTTAGGTAAATGTTTATCAATTAAATCGACGAAATTCTGACTTAACTTAGTACTGATTAATTGGTTAAATAGGGGTGTTTACCAAAAGATTTTCTTATTCCTATTATTTTTCCTGTTAATAATATTAACACATGTAATCTCAAAGATTCTTACGAATGTCTATAAAGAAACCAATGTTTAAACACCTCTCTTCTTTATCTAGGTACTATTTCTACAATAAATAATACCACTGTTGAAAAATTTCATATTGGTAATCATATGAATTATTTTAAGACTAGGTGGACTCAGCATGTCTTATCCTTCATCAATACTATAGTACATAAATAAATTGTACATATCTTTATAAATTTTTTGTAAATTAAAAGAAGCTAATAAGACTCCTAAGGTAAAATGGAAAATTTGAAAAAAAAAAGCTAGAACATGAAGATCTTTAAATGAACTCTGTTTCCTGCGTTTACATAAATAATTGGAAATTATCAGAGTTTTTGATAAAAACTTCTTATTAATCGAAAGAAGTGAATTGACTGTAAATTGTAGGCATCGTCTGACCTTTTAACTTACAATATACTTAAACTTTGAATTTGATAATACATTTTCTTACGGTAATAATCAGTAGATAAAATATTGTGCACCTTATATGGCGTACTATTTTATTTGTATTGATATAATATTGCTTTGTATTAATGTTTGGTTAGTATTATTAACATCTTATATGGATGTACTGCTGTTTGGTTGGCATTATTATCATCTTACATTGATTAGTTGCTATTATTAACATCTAATATGGATGCTCTTTATTTAACGATTGTATATTAATTTGCCAAATTAATTCTGTATTTTTTCCGTTTTTTCGAACGTTTAAGTTTTTTGTCAGATTCTTAAAGGGGTCTTGTATTTATCAACTTCAAAATTTTGTGTATGAAGCTGAGCAAGCATGTAACCAGTTAATATTATTTTAAATTACCTACTAGATTTTTATACGCAGACAACATCGTGTAATGACCTATAGTATTTCTTTTTCCGGTGAGTTGAATTTAGCCTAGGTTACATTCGATTTGTTATTCTCGACAAAGCCCAGGAGTCTATTTTTTTAAAGTGTTCTGCCAAATTAATCTTTCAATCGCCAGTAGTTTAACATCGCCTGAAGAGAAACATTTATGGTGTCGAAACATAATTGCATTTTCGTAGCGATTTTTTATAACGTTTTAATATCCTAAAATAAATTTATAAATATATATATATATATATATATATATATATATATATATATATATATATATATATATATATATATATATATATATATATATATATATATAGAGAGAGAGTGACAGTGAGTAAGAGAGAGAGAGAGAGAGGAAGCACGCTGGAGAAGTGGATAGCGGTCCGACTCAGGAATTTGAGTGTTCGAATTCCAGTCGAATACATTAAATTCACTTACGTGCTAATACCATTGCGAAAGGTATTAATCCTCTTCTTCTCCTTCCAGCTATAGGAGAAGGACAACAGCGGGGAGTCGTTTGGAGACTCTGTGGCACGTATTGCACCATGTTTCTGTACTCGGCCCTTCAAAAAATTTGGTTGGTTCTGCACAAAACCCTCACCACTATAATCAAATCATATTTTCTGGTATCTGGCTGTCGGTTCCTACGAACTCAGTCGCTTGACCCTCATACGTCGAATATATATATATATATATATATATATATATATATAGGTACTACGACATGGTTTGTCTTGCTAGCAAAATTACGTCTGAGTAGTGAGTCCGTTCCAAACTGTCTGTTCCCTCCATAATTTGGGCCTTGTGCCACATTTAAGATACGCTTAATAAATCACTACACGCAAACACACACACACACACATATATATATAATCGTTTTTCTTTTCACTATTGTTTGAAAATAAAATAAAATAATTTGCCTTAATGTTGTTTTAGTTTTCCCACTTGTTTATTTTATTTTTAGGAAACAACACAACACAACTTAATTGACACAATACTATCAGGAAAAAGTGTTATGAATTTACTGTTACGTTAGAAAAGTCTGTAAAGAAAACTCAGAAGTGTATATAATGCAAATATTGGGTGAGAAGTGCTTGTCTTTGTTAGCAGATAATTTCTATGCCAAATTATAACTTTGAATTAAATAGACCCAAGATTCAAATATTCTATAGACTTTTCTTTTGGAGGCATTGAATGGGGCCATCTCTCAAATACTTGTTCATGCTCAAGGCATAATTTTCGCCGATCAACAAATCTCGTCCCAAAGAATTGCTAAGACAAGTTAAAATATCCATTAGAAGCATCTACGCATAGAGAAGACGACAGCAAAACTTTTATGCTAAACAGAAAGAATATTTAATGTTGTAACGTAGGGAAGGTTAATGACTAAAATAATCACACGAAGGTTGGTAATGAACGATAATACTTTGGACAAGAACAACACATATAAGATTCGCCAGCGACACGTAGAAGATATAGTCAACTGATAGAAATGAGTCAAGTGAATTCCACAATGAATCTCCAACTGCAGGACATCTACCAACCGCTCCAAGCGGTCAAATGTTGCACATGACCGAATTTAATATGGGGTATCCGAGCCCGTGGGCTCGACCGAAATTTCCCCATAGACACCGTATAAAATGGGTTCGGGTAGTGCTTTTCTAAGAGGAGACTCTGCCCTTCGACATAGCCTCGTCTGGGGATCCTCTCTTCCCGGAGCAGAGAGTTGTTAATAGCACAACTGAAGACGATTCTCCAAGTGTAGGATATCTACCAACCGCCCCACGCGGTCAGATGTGGCAAGAAGCCAGATTTAATGTGGGGTATCCGAGCCAAAATTTCCCCATAGACACCGTATAAAATGGGGTCGGGTAGCTGTTTTCCGAGACGCGACTCGACATAGCCTCGTCTGGGGATCCACTCTGCCCGGAAGCAGAGAGTTTGACCAACACAGCTGGAGACGAATCTCCAAGTGCAGACCAACATACAGTTTTTTCTACTGTATTTGTGTTAATGGGAACATATCCATATCGTCAGTAAGTTTGCTACAAAATTTAGTTAAAACCTTCATGTTCCTTTTGCCAAAGACGAAAGAATCAAGTTTTCGCTGTTTATAAATAAAGAATATGATCCGTAGTCCATACATCGGTAAGTAGATGTACTCATGTTCAAAATGACCGATGAAATTCAAAAATAAAATACAAATTGTCACAGTTGTGAATTTTGTGATGAAATATATTTTTTTCATCAATGACTCTATAGAGAAGACCATATCACGTTGAAACACCGGTTCACTTACGAGTTAAGCAACGTCGAGCTTGCTTAGTAACGGCTTGGAAATACAAAGTGCTGTAAGCTTGAATGTATGGGAGGTGTAATTGGATAATCGCTCGTAATTGTTAAGCGGAGAACCGAGTTCCTATTTCAGTTAGGGTTGTTATATTCATTACATGGAAATACTCTATGAATGAATCCACCTGTTCCCCTATCAATCTTGATGATAAAGTTAGTAGACGTCCATCTAAAATTGACAATCAAGATATGAAAACACTTGTCGGTCATAACCCACGTCAAAATGTCAGAGAATTATCTCAGTCAATGGATGTCAACATGGCTACAATGTCGGATCATCTCAAGAAAATAGGCAAGATGAAGAATATCTATAAATAGATTCCACGTGAACTCAGTGAAAGTCAAAGAGTTCGACGTTTTGATGTGTTTTTGATGCTGCATCTGTGAAGTTCGAATGATGCATTTCTTGATTCAATAGTAACTTGAGAAATGGAACTTTTATGACAATAGTATAGGATCAGCGCAAATGGTATTATTGGGGATTAGTGAATGTATTTGGTTAAATCAGAAGGAATTTTTAGGTGGCGTGTTCGTTAACATTCATCCATAACAAATAATAAACGAATATTTAGAACAGGTCATGCAAAGCAGAGTTAAAAACAAAGACAAGTAAAAGACACAACAATACGGTAATTTATACACAATTTAAATATATACAAATGAGTTATGAATTGGTGATTTGTTGTATATTGATATAATAAGACATGTATTTTGTTGTTGAGTATGTTTGAATGCTTAAATCAGTGTTTTGATGATTTGTTGTAAGAATTAAACAGTTTGCTGTTCAACGTACAAAAGTGTGCGATTTTATAGTTCAAACGTTAGTTTGTGTATATTGTGTTATGTAAAATATTCTTAAGTTGTACGAAGTTGTGTACCTTGAACTGTTAATTGTTAAAAGCTTTGTCTGTTACTGTTACTTATATGTAGTGAATATATTTTTCACTTTCTCAAGTAAAGCAAATGAATTTTTGAGAAGTGTGTTTAAAAGAGAGATTGAGTATGCCAAAAGGTTATTGAGTCAAAGGTTAATTCGCGCGGGAAAGTCAAAGTTTAAACTGGCGTGGAATTGGTTGGCATCTCTCTGAGTGTGGAATTCTGACTGGTAAGGTGGTTCGAATTTCTTTCTTTTATAGGTTCTGGAAAGGAAAAATAGGCTCAAACACATTTGAGAGCCAAAGGCATATTTTTCACGTGCATACTTAGTTTTTTAAGGTTGTTAGCCAATGAGAAATTGTGTTTGTCAGAACTAGTGTTTTGATTGGATAACAGGTGTGTGGGTGTAAGAATGGATTGTTCTGCAAAGGGGTGAAAAGGTAATGTGGATTATTCCACAGTATCAAATGGCTCAAAGGATTATGACAAATCACTCAAACACTTTCCAAAATCGAAATTGCATCAACAGATTTTGGCGACCGTCCGCTTGTTCGTCTTTGACGATTTTGCATTACAGCTTTCTGGAATCAAACCAGAGTATCACTGTCAAAGTTTACTGCTTGCAACTGTATGAAATTCACGATCAGTTAAGCAAAATTCGACCAGCACTCTTTAATCGATTATTTCCAATTCTGCTTCATGACTGCTCTGTGATATGTTGTTGGGATGACAGTGCACAACATCAACGACTTGCTATACGATACTTTGCTGCATCAACCATAATTCCCTGATCTCCCCCACACTGAGTAAGTATCCTCACACTTATTTACGTGAAAGAGAGAGAGTTTGCTATTACGTACAAGGTGATTGAAAAGTAACTCCCCATTTTAAAATAATTATACTTTATTCATTAACGATAATTTTTACAGAAAATGTATATGAGAGGAAAGCGTTTAGCAAAAGTTTTTTTATTTAAAATTCGAGATGGACGCTAGATTTCGCTACCAGCTTCTCGAGCCGCCCGAGAATAGCATCAACTGATTTCACCAGAAACACTTGTGGTATGGAAGTCAATTTTTTGTATTACTCTTTCAAGTTCTTCGTAAATCTTGTTTTTTTTTTTTTTTACAGTAGAAAAATAAAAAAAATGGCTCAGTGTGTTAAGTCAAGACTCCCGGCTGGCCACTCATACATAAAATATGCAGTTTCTTTTCAATCACCCTGTATATGCAGAAACTGCATTCAAATGTTTTATGTCATCAATACCATTAGGCTTTTATTTTAAAGGCAGAAATATATATATTTTTTAACTTTAGCAGGAATGTATAGATATTCAGCATTTGTATTTTGATTTATTTAAAGACAGTTAAATATATTAATTCAGCAATACAGGTTGATTGTAACATTGGACATAATTCTCTGAACATCCTAGTATATTAAACTGTATTAAATGAGAAGAATATCACGGATTTCAATAAAAAAAATAATTTATTAAATAAACACTGATTTAAATTTGAACGTCTTAATTGTTTTAACAAATGAACATGACTATCTTTATCGGAGGCATCCTCTAAGACCGAGTGTCTTTACCCTGGCACATGTTATGTTCTAAAATTTTTGATAGCAAAAATGAATAACGTCTTGCTTGGCCGCTTTATTCTGGCACACAAAGAAAAATGCTACTGATATAAAAAAAAAAAAACTGTAGAAAGACAATGAGTTATTTGAAAGTAAAGTGAATAATTTATCTTAACCTTTCGTGTATGAAGGTTTGCCTCTTCCGACAGTTTCTCAGAGTAGACGACTAAATGATAATTAAAAAAAAATACGAATCAATTAGCATAAAAAAAAAAAAAATTATAGTGAAAACAGGAAAATAGTTTGCCAGAGTCGTAAGTTAATTACTGTGTCAGTTAACAAATAAATTTATTCAACGTAAAAGCAATGAAATTGATGGTGCTGTCGAGATATTGGGTTCGACTGGAGGCAATAGAATTGATGATTTAACTTTACTCGATTATATTCTGACATGTTTACTCGGTGAAATTCTAGAAAATTGCCTCTTTAATGGTCGCATAAGAAAATTGTGAACATCGTTCTGAGAAAAGTTGGTAATATTATTCGCCCATTTTTTTTCTGACACGAAGCGACAAGATATAACGGACGTACACTCCTACCTCTTTATCCTTCACACGCATCTAACCCTCTCACTCTCTCTCTCTCACCCTCTTTCTCTCTCTCTCTTTCTCTCTCTCTCTCTCTATGTATATATCTATTTATCTAATCGAAAAGATATAACGCACTTACTCTCTCCCCTCTCTGTCCTTCACACACATCTATCTATCTATCCTCTTCATATCTATCTATCTATCTATCTATCTATCTATCTATCTATCTAATCCACAAGATATAGGGCACATACTATCTCCCCTTTTTATCCTTCACACGCATCTAACCCTCTCACTCTCTCTCTCATCCTTTTTCACCCACTTTCTCTCTCTCTCTCTCTATGTATATATCTATTTGTCTAATCGAAAAGATATAACGCACTTACTCTCTCCCCTCTCTGTCCTTCACACACATCTATCTATCTATCTATCTATCTATCTATCTATCTATCTATCTATCTATCTATCTATCTATGTTATCCTCTTCCTATCTATCTATCTACCTATCTATCTATTCTATACTATCCTCTTAATATCTATCTATCTATCTATCTATCTATCTATCTATCTAATCCACAAGATATAAGGCACATACTATCTCCCCTTTTTATCCTTCGCACACATCTCTCTCTATCTGTCTATGTATCCATTCGACAAGATATAAGACACATAATCTCTCCCCTCTTTATCCTTCACACATCTCTCTCTCTCTGTCTCTCTGTCTCTCTGTCTGTCTCTCTCTCTCTCTCTCTGTCTCTCTCTGTCTCTCTCTGTCTGTCTCTCTCTCTCTCTCTCTCTCTATATATATATATATATATATATATATATATATATTTGACGGGGTGAAAATAACCAGATAATACAGTTTGTAAATAAATAAAAAAATGGACAAATTGATATCAGGGAAAAAATTCAATAAAAAAGAAAACGCTAAAACGACCGTGTCGCTTGAAAATAAGCAACAGGCACTTTAATGTCTAGCCAAAAGAAAAAAAAAAGCAAGAGAGTAACCTAAGTTGAAACGTAAAAGTGCTCAATACACTAAGTAGAGAAAAAACTAAAAACCCTAAAGAGCTCGAACCTATCTACCCGGGTTTCACCTAACGGATCATCAGGATAACTCTGAAGCCAGTTAGGTGGAGCCTAGTTAGATAGGCTCTGTTTTTCTTTAAGTATTCTATGTATCTATCTATCTATCTATCTATCTATCTATCTATCTATACATACATACATACATACATGCATACCTACATAAAAACACACACATATATTTACTTGACCAATATAATGCAGATATGACATCTCCCTCTTTATCTATCTATCTATCTATCTATATATATATATATATATATATATATATATATATATATATATATATACACACACACAAACACACACGCATATATATTTACTTGACAAATATAAAGCTCATATGAACTCTCCCTCTTTATCTATCTATCTATCTATCTATCTATCTATCTATCTATCTATCTATCTATCTATCTAATTAACAACATATAATCCACATATAACCACCTCTCTTTATTTTTCACTCACACTATCCCTCTTGTAGATTGACAAACGACCCAACTGGTAAGCACGTTATTGCTCAAAACATGAAACCCGCGTTTGAATTTCGTAATAGTCAAAGAAATTCCTTTTTTTATCTCTTTATCTTTGGAAGCCGTTTATCGTTGTGCTTTTGCGCAGTTATTTAATGAGAAGTTAGATGCTCTTTTTCCTTAGTAATATATCTAGAATTTGTAGCTCAACACAACGCCCTATCAGCCGCACTCCTCACGCAGATGTATCGGTCTGAAAAAAGAAGAGTGCGCAATGATTGAAATTCTTTTTTAAAAAAACAGTAGTGCCAGTGGGTTCGCTTATGTTCCACTGGTGGAAGCAGTGCAACATCTATGTAACCTGTGTCAGATTTTATTAATTAAGTCGTTGTTTTCCTGTAACTCTCAAAAGAATTCCAACTAGATTTCCTTATTTTTTTTTTCATTTTTTTTTCTTCTAGGCGTGTCGTTACCTTTTGACCCCGGAGATCCTTACAGCTGGATATATCAACTTCACTTTTCGTGTACGGAAATATTTTACCAGAGGAATCCCAAAGAGCGAGGGAAATTTCTTAAATTCTTTGTATTTAAGCTTTGATTTGTAAGGATCTGTATGTAGACTATCGTCTTTTCCGACTTTTTCTTTAAAAAAAATAACGTTCAGCCATCGACGTAATGATTGTAGATCTATCGTAATAGTTTCATCAGGCCTCCGCATTTTAAGATATATTACAACTTTTACCTTCCCCCAAAAGACAAAGAAACACCCTTTTCTATGAAACAGGAGGGGGTTTTGGTACTGCAGGATGACCATTTGATGCTTTATGTTGTGGTAGTGACTCAACCTTGTCTGCCAGGACGGACAATATTTGGCGGTCTATGCGGAACTCAAAAACGGAATAATATGAACATTGTTTCTCTTTTATTTTATTTTTTCTTCGGAAAACGATAAAGAAATCACTCTCTCCTTCTGAGGAGGCACAAACCCGGCAGTACACTCTAACCCAACTCTGTGATGTACATCAAACACGCACACACACACACATACGCGCGCGCAAACAAAATACACACACACCACAGTGTGACGTGACGTGGTCCAGGGTTGATCCTTTGGTCACGGCACCATTTGTGACGTCGTCCCCCGGTCGCAGCGTCGACTGTGTCGTTCGATCCCGTTCGCGGCGCCAATTGTGACGTCACGTGCTCCCCAGGCTTTGATATCCTGGTCACGGACAGCACCAGTTGTGACGTCTTTTGTCGCGGCGTCAGCTGTTCGCTCCTCGCTGCTCCAAACGTGACGTTCTAACCCTTTGGTTAGATTGATACCAGCCTCGTCGTTCCCAACCCGCTTCCAACGCCTGGTTACCAGGGTAACTGCACTGATCTCCAGTCTGCCTACCCACGTTGTGACTTGATCTTAGACAGACGAGATCAAACAGGGCTTGGGGCCGTAATGCAAGTTGAGTCTAACGGGGGTGATAACACACAATTATGTATAATAAAAAGAAATAAAATAACAACTCACAAGGTCCAACGTATCAAGAAAAAGGTAACAAACTTTTACGTCTATTTGCTCGATACATATGACTATGTCTACCTCCCGACCCGTTCTGTGGATTGTGGCGCAACGCTTTTACTAGGCAACTTTAAGGCTTCCAGTAGTCTGCTCTCTAAGAAATTTGTGTTTCGGCGTGTCCTTGGACGAAAGTCGAAAAAAGAACTTATTTCTGTGGTCTGATCCTAAGTCGCTCTTCAAACTACTTGTTCTTGGTTGAAGAAGAGTCCAGAAGTGTGCGTGAATCTTGGTTAGCTATCTTGACGCGGTTTCAACACTGGGTGCTCATCTCTGCTTGTCGTTCACGGCTCAAACTGCAATCCGCTCGCCGTCCGCGGCTGATCTCTGCTTGTCGTTCACGGCTGATCTCTCTCGCCGTCCGCGGCGCAAACTCTTCAGAGTCTGAATTACTGGTCACTCATCTACGCCGTCGTTGCGCGAATTAAATTCTTCTCTTCGGCTTCGATTGGACGAACTTCTTCACTTCGGCTTGGGTTGGACGAACTTCTTCACTTAGGCCAAACGAACTGGCCTCTCTTGCCCGCAAAGGGGCGAATGAACCTGGCCCGCCGTCCGCGCTCAAACTCCCTCGCCGTCCGCGGCGCAAACTCTCTGATTTCTGTCGGTTGGCGTCCCGCTTTTATTGATGCAGTCAAAAACTGGGGTGGGTCTGTCGGCGCCAGGGTTTTCTTGATAATTCTAAATACGTATCCACCCTTCTTATTTCTGGTTAGGGATTTTCCATTTTCGGTAATTCACTTTCACTCCTACTTCCTTATTGTGTCTCTGGGGGCGTATACCCACTTCCCGCTTCCTCGTATCGGCCCCTCACACTTACACCTCTGACAAGGGCATTCTCCTCGTGCGTCACGTGACCGCTCTCGGCCAATGAGGTCCTGGTCGGGTATCTTTCTCCTCCTTTGTGTGTCATTTGACCGCTTTCGGCCAATGAGGTCCTGGTCGGGTATTTTTCCTCCTCCTTCGTGCGCCACGTGATCCCATCTAGCCAATGACGTCTTTAGTCGGGCGTGGACAATCCGTGGCTTTGTTCTGGGGGAAGAAACACCTTGCTTAAAAAAATAAAAATTTAAATTGCCCTTACCATACGCGACCGAAATGACGCTCTCGGTTTTTTTAACACGCGGTATTTGTCAAGCAGTTTATCGCTAATTGGACACGACCTAAGAAAAGGGATTTCTCAGACTGGGTGGCGTTTTCGTGAACGAATAAAAATATTTCACTTTTTCTTTCCCTCGAAGCTTGATAACAAAAATCTTCATTATCTCAAAAAAACATTTTCAGCCAACATCATCTTGTGTGGGTTTTTTTTCAATTCTGGAATTGCCTGTGTTTTCGTATTAATGGTTTGTCTTCATATCCTTAGATACACTTCCCACCTGTTACCTATCATATTTTTTTTCCATTGTCCCTAAACTTTGTTTCTTCAACCATTTGATAACAAACTTCCATTTTTCGTGGACACGGAAGTAGGTCAGGTGCTTGACCTGATATTTTTGACATCTATTATGTGCCAGTCGAGCGTGTGTGTGCTCGCTTACGACCTGGTTTCGTATTATTTATTTTTCTCAAAACCCAAATATTTTTCAGCTCTAAATAATTATCAAATGGTTGACAAACCGTAAAAAACAAATCATATATTTATGAATATTTCTTTTCAGCTTGCTAGGTATGCATGGTGCCACAACAGCTATGTGCTTACAAATTTTAATTCCATTTTAAGAATTATTAGCTCATGCGTAAATATAAATTTCTCTTTTTCTTCTTTTGTTAGCGCTGTTATTTTTTATGTAAATATATGCTAATTATCTAAGTGTAGCTTAGACGTGGCATAAAGCCAGAAGTATGAGACAGCTAGTGAGTATCAAACTCACCATTCAGTCGTGCTTGATCTAGCGAGACAAGTTTGCTAGCAATTATAACACATCGAGGTACTCCTTATGATTTTCTAAGCGTAGCTTAGATGTTGTTCAAGGCCGAATGTTTAGAGCACATATTGAGGGTTGGACGATCGACTCAGCCGAAATTGATATAGCGAGACAAGTCTGATAGCCATTACACCACGTTGAAATGCCCCTTTTATGCAAATATATGTGTAATATTTCCCGTGTTGAAATTCATATATTATGAAACTGTTAAATTAAATTCTTTTGAAAATGCTTAAATTATTTACTTTCTCTGTTTCCACCTCAGCCATAAAATATAGCAACTGCAATCGTTACAAACGTCTAAACAATTTTGTCCAATATATCATATCTTTCTTCTTCTAGGGGCGATCTACATTCAGGAAGTGAGCGAGCATGGCTCACCACAACATCCTGTCTTTTTGCTCTCTCTATTAATGCATGTTCTGCCAACGATTTCTTCAAGCTAGTTCGATATGTTTTTAACTGTTATCCCTTTACTTCTTGTTGTCATTCTGAGATGGAATAAATACATCGAGTCAATTGCCTCGTCCACTGCGAGGAAAGTTGGCTCCCTGAGCCGCGCTAGGAAGTTTTTCTTCCCTGAGTCGATCCTCCAGATATACAAATCCACAATTCGCCCTTGAATGGAGTATTGCTGCCATATATGGTCTGGCGCCCCTTTTGTTTGCCTCGGGGTTCTTGATAGGCTCCAGAGGCGGATATGCAATATGGTTGGCCCTGCCCTGGCGTCTCGTCTACAGTCACTTTCTCACAGACGCGCCGTCACCTCCCTTTGTCTGTTCTACAAATACTTTAATGGAAATTGCTCCGAGGAGCTGCATTCGCTGGTTCCCAGACGTCATGAGTTCCAGCGCCCAACGAGGCTGGCATCCCGCTCTCACCCCTTCACTGTCGAAACTCCTAAATGTAGCCGTCTCTTCTACTCCAATAGCTTCATGTCTCGCACCTCTCGCCTGTGGAACTCCCTTCCTTATTTCTGTTTCCCTGTGAGCTATAATCTCCAGCTATTCAAGTGTAATGTCAATCGACATCTCCAGTTGCCTTAATCTATCTACTACCCTCATCCTTTTTTCTATCACTCCTATCTGATCTTGCTATTTTCTGTAACCCCTTGCGTTCTAGTGGCTTCCCGCCTTGCTTAGGGTGAAATGCTTAAAAAAATAAAATAAAAAAAAATAAATTATGTGTTTCAAAATGTCCAATACTTATTCTCATTATGTCTCTTAGAAATTTAAACTTTTTCTGATGCTATGTATTGTCTCTATTTTTCTTAAACCTTCTCCTCATTCATATCTTCAGCCCATCGTGTTCGCAGAAGGCTTCAGTAGATCAATATTTCTCTTATCTCATCTTCATTTGGGACGAGGTTATCCAGCAATCACTGCAATATAGGAGAGTCGATATTGCATAACAGTTGAGTACTCTTTACTTTGTTTCTAATGAAATGTTCCTGTTTCT